CTCAGCCGCTGTAGTAACGAACAGTTTGCTGTGTGGAATCATAGAGCTTTTCTTAAACTCAAGATATGTTCTGTCTCGAACCAGAACCACCTTTCGATTGGCTTCATAGTGAAGGAGAAACGGAGGAATCAGAGCCTCCGTGTCTTCAGAGAGATGAGACATTTAAGGCTTTGCATGTTTCTGCTTCGAGGTCTTGGAGGTTCCGGCCGGCGGGACTCCTGAATCTAACTCCCCACTGCCCTCTGCAGCAGTAACAGAAGCAGCAACCTTCCCTTGAGTATGAGTACAAAGACGATGTGCAATAGTCCCTTTTATCCACTCTATTTTGAGGACTGCTGATGATTTCACCTTATTGGCTTTACCTCCCTTTCCTGTCGGAGTAGGCATTTTACTTTTAGTGGGAGTGGGTTCTTCAACAAGTTGGGGTTCATCTTCTGAAGACACAGACATCGTTAAACAGCATAGCAAGAAAGTCTTTGACCAAGAGGATGCAACAGATGGAAATGAGTGAGGAAAATATGAAGGACGGTTTCTTTGAGAGTGAAAACGAGAGAATTAGGGTTAGAAAATAGTAAAATAAAAAGACAGATATGGAGTAGGCGGTTCAATGACGAGAAGGAGACGGTTGAGTCTGCTTTTCTCGGTTTTGATGAAAAGGCACAGTAACCACCACTCATCTTTAACCTCTCCTTTTGGCAGAACCGCTCGGCCCAAACCCAGTAATTCCTTTTTACTGAGATACAAGTGGGCTTAATTTATTCCAAAAGAGTGAGGCTGTTAAAACGTAACACCCACATTAGTAAGAAAAAATTAGCCGAAGCCATCCTTAGTGTAGACTACACCACACAAAATTTTGACTTACATTACTTCCAAGAGTAATTAATAAGCACTAGTTTTTAGGGGTAGTTCTAACCAAACCAAATAGCCACAACATTTTAAGTAAATATTTGCACAAGAACAAGACCCAGCACAACTCATCGTCGTAGCTCATGATCATGAGTTACCACACATCCGGATTAGAGTAGCACGCGGAAGTCTTCTTGAAACAAATGAAAATGATCAACCCACCAGTCCACTGTGGTAGCTATTTCTCAGAGAGTAGCTTTCACCAACAGTGATTGTTTCAGACTAACTTTCACATTATCATTCAAGCTCAGACCTTTTAAAGAAAAGAGAAGAAAAAATAAAAATTCTCAATCTCAGATTTTGTTTGACAGAGAAACACCAAGTGGTAAGGACAAAGGTTTTATGACTTTTCTTCCCCTTTGTATGAACCTTCCTTTTGAATATGAAAGAAAAGAGACTAGGACTTTTTTCCTACTCTCCCATTTAAATAGAGACATCGAATGGTAAGGATAAAGGTTTTAGGACTTTTCTCCCCCTTTGTATGAGCCTTTCCCTCGAACACAGAAGAGATTAGGACTTTTCTCCTACTCTTCCTTTTATTGGGTCATAAGACTTTTCTCCTCCACCCTTTTTTTTTTTACATGAATCCCCCCAGACTAAGAGATTGACCACAAAAGCAAAAAAGAGAGAAGAAAGGTCATAAGGAACCCTAAGCAAGAATGATAAGCAGCTCTTTTTCTGACCCAACGTACCAATAGGAGGTTTTAAAGGGTGATATAGAGCACTGGACACAAAACACACATGTTACATCCAATCCAAGAGGATGGATCACCCTACCTATTAAGTCACAATAGAATATTAGTGTTTGCTGAGAACACGAGTGTTGTGTTCCTCAGAAAAACATTTTACACTTGACGTTTTCTTTTTGACAGAGTGTGTAAACCTAATAACACAATTTTTATTATCGTAGTATTTAATTGTTACCTGTTTTGGAAGACAAGTAAATGAGAGATCATACCAGAACCGGTTGATAGGGGTAATTATCTCATCGTTGGATCGTTGAAGAGTGATAATACTAAATGCATCATGTTGATCCTTGTAGTGACACAAGCATTCTTGATGTGGAGCAACTTGGAATTGTTTACATCCTAAATTTCTCCTGAATTTTACAGTTGAGAGAGAATTTGTGTTAGTCAGTAGAGCGCTGAATTTAGAACTCATACCTTGGGATTTTCTTAGTGAGGATTGACGAAGTTGAGACCACATTAAGTTGTGGTTGAGACTCTCTAATTCCCTGAGGCTATTCGTTAACCAGTTAAATGTGTTGAGTGTGACATGACACACTTTTATTTCAGAAGGGGTATGTGCTGAATCAGACACCTTTAGCGTTT